GATTACAGTAACGTGTTACAAATAACGCGTTACTGCCCATCTCTGTTTGGGACCACCATCTGAATATTGGCGCGCGGTCTCTGAGAGCTCTGACTTCAGTTAGAAGCTCTGCTGTCTGTTTCAGAGCTCTGGCTGTTATCGGAAGCTCGTCCTCTGTTTGGAGACTAAAAGAAGTTGCGCTGACGGATCACTACCATCCTGTCGTCCAAGAAATGTCTCTGTTTTTAAATTATTTTTATCCTTAATTTACAGAGTTTATAAGTTTCTTTAGTAGCAGGAGCACTAACGATGAGGACTTATTACAACACACAATATTGTCATTTTTGGGATGTTTTCTCTTCTACAGCATGTCAGATTTATATCGATGAACAAAGAGAGGATTCGCTGACAAACCTGAGCACATGGAGGGCAGCATCACCATGACGCTGGCCCTGACGCTGACTGACAGCCCCATACCGAACGCCGCCAGACCGGCCAAGCCCAGCGTGGTGTGGGCGCAGAACCACAGCGGCTGTTTCTGCAGGAGGAGAGCCATGAGTCCGTACAGAGACGCGATCAGCAGCCCGGATACAAACGCCACCATCCTCTGCCCCACCTCCACCAGGTGAGCTCTGAGCTTCCTCCTGCCGCTGAGTCGAGAGCGTCCCGCCGGTCTGTGGAAGCAGAAACAGTGAACGACATGTTCACTAACCTGCAGCACCACATAGACACGAAGCTGCAGTGCTGCCACCTGCAGGCCGTGACGTGCACGCGGGTTCACAGTGGCATTTATCAAAGATCCGTCTTTGTAGGACAAATTAAATAAAACATCAGCCCTGTCTTATTGTATTTAACAAACATGTCTCGGGACCACCTCACCTTCTACCTGCCTTTTCCCCGAGACTCGTCATTTCAAACACAAACGGCTGATTGTTGTTCCTGTTTGCATCGCGCTGGTGGACAAACAGAGACGACTATAACGGAGTTACAGACTTTAAAACTATCAAACTATCTGTGAGTTCTGAGTGAGAATAAACAGCTACATGTCTGTTACACCTTTATAATATTGGATTAATGGAATAGAAACGATGAGTTTCAATGTTAGCTGTGTAAACTCAAGCCCCGCCCCCCACGGAGGAATGTTGGGTTCACTTTCAGATGCTTCCATCCTTTATATACAGTAAAATAATTTGCAGGAAGTGAAAAGGAGGGAAGTTAAAATGTTCTGTGATGAGGCTGTGGAGCGATAAATGTGAACACAAATCATTTTTTAAAAAGGTGAAAGGTTAACATCCAGGTCACTCTAGATGAGAATGTGTTAGCTCGAAAGCTAACAGTTAGCACTCGGGTGAATCTGGTTCCTCTACCTGCTCAGAGCTCCTCGGATAGTCTCTGTGACTCCGCCCCTCTTCACCTGGACTGAGATGTCACTTTTCATCAGGAGCTGTTTCCTTTCTTCACTCCTCATCTTCATCTTTTACACCAGGGGAAACGTTTCTGCGTC